AAAATAAATATTTCATGCTCAATCATTTATTTGATTAAAAATGCAGTAGAATATATTTTTACAATGTACTTTATTCCTGTGATTGAAAGCTGAATTCTCAGCAATTTTCAACACTATCCATCCTCATTGGACTGCCTTTAGAGAGAAATGCATCTTTACGGATTACATAATGAAAGAGTTTTTTGTTTTAAAATAGTAATTAAAAGCATTCTATAGATATATTTATCATGTCGGTGAAGCGCTCCTGCTCAAGACCAAGAGGACAGAAAGCGCATCCTGTTTGTTTTCCTTATTTTAGAAAACCACAAGGTTTTGTTGATATTGTAAGTGCACACAAATACAAATAGACCCTTTGCCGTTCCGAATGATGTATACTATTACCTTTATGAGCCAAAATGACAGCGTATTTTTAAGTTTCCGCTGTTCTTAAAAAAAATGCAAGTGATCGCGCTGGCGCCTCCATGTCCTGCAGAGCACGCATTAGCTTCCACTCTCCGCACAAACCATTGGATTTGCGCCTAATAATGCTCATTTATCTGGGTTAAATGTTTAAATTAATACTATGAAATGCATGAAGTGTTTTATGTCTGTTTATTTTAGGCAAGTCGTGTTGGTTTGAGAAGGCTAAATTGATCAAACATGCTCAACTCACTGTCTGCCGGTGCCGCTTGGTCGTTCCTTTAAACAACAAAAACTTGAATTTAACAAACATAAATTAACTTAATTAAGAAACAAAAATAAATATGACCACTTTGCCATTAAAAACCAAAACTGAACTATTTTAATAGCTGTGTAATGGGGACGAGAGAGAGAGAGAAAAGTCACGATATCCAGTCGGACTCTGGCCGAGAATTCTCATAAAGCTGTTGGACAAGGGCCGGTCCCGTGCAGGGCTCTATTCGTTCCCTCGTTGCCCCCAAACTGCCCGGGACCATATGCACCTGCATACACTGCATAGCCAGACGCTACGCCACTGATCTTATTTGTTCTTATCTGTTCATAAAAGTTTTATGTTTAATATAAGCGACTTTGTCATTGTAGCATTGTTGATGTTGTGTGTGTGTGTTTTTCATTAAGAGTAATATTGAACCAACCTTAAGAATTAATTTTGTTTCAAGAATAGGAAAGACCTAACGTTAAAGATCAGAATAAGCGCTGCAGATGTGAGAATGCGAGATTAGTTGCTGCTGAGGTAGACGCTCTCGCTCTTTCTCGGCTGTCTGTAGAAATTGTTGTTAATTCTTAATTTGAGAACGGCAGAGACATTACAGGTTATAATATAATCAAAAAATCATGGCAACAAATGATTTTTTAAGTCAGTGTAATCCGTTTAATCAGTTTAAATGATTTTCACAGTCAATTTGATTCAACTTAACTCATATTTAACCGTTGCTTCTTGTCATTGTAGGCTTAGGCTACTTTTT